CAGTTTGTGGCAACAGCCAGGGCTGGGCCAGGCCAAAGCCGGGAGCCAGGAATGTCATTCAGGTCTTTCACGCAGGTGTCAGGAGTCCAAGTACTTCGGTTATATTATGTTGCCTTCCCAGGTGCTTTCATGGAAAGCTGGATCAGGAGTAGAGCAGCCAGGACTCAAACCAGCATTCAGATATTGGATGCTAGCATCACAAGCAGCAGCTAAACCCACTGCACCACAATGCTAGCCCTGACACTGTCTATTTTTCTGTCCTTAATCACATAATGATGTGTAACTTAGTGAGTTTGATTGTGGTGAGGGGTGAAGCAGAAATTAGAAGTACGGAACCAAACCACCTTCAGTGTATTCAATTTCAATTTTAAAGTCCTAAAGTGTGGTCTCTGGGGCCAGCATTGTGACTTATCAGTTTAAGCCACCAATGCTGGTTTATGTCCCAGCTGCTCCATTTCCAATCCAACTCCCTGCTAATGACCTGGGAAATGCAGCAGAAGATGGACCAAGTGTTTGGGACTCTGACACCCACGTGAGAGACCCAGATGAAGCCCCTGGCTCCTGACTTCAACCTAGCTCAGCGCTGGCCACTTCAGCAATTTGGGGAGTGAACCAATGGATGGAAGATCTCTCTCTGTCTCACCGTCTCTGTGTGTAACTCTTTTTTTTTTAATATTGAGTCTACTTTTTATTTATTAACACACCCTTTTTAAATGGAGCTGTTGTCTTTTCTAATTATAGAAGTGAAAACACATTTTCTTGCAAATGTCATTCTTTTAAACATTTTAAGTTTTTTATTTAATGAATGCATTTTTTCATAGATACAACTTTAGGTGGTTCTTTCCCCATACCCACCCACCCTCAACTCCCATCCCACCTGCCTCTCCCCCTCCCATCTCCTTCTTCATTATGGTTCATTTTTAGTTTCAAATTAAATAAATAAATCTTTAAAACAAGTGTGGTCTGGGAGCATTTTTTTTCTAAGAAATGCAGACCTACTAAACTGGAATCCAAGGCCGGCACCTCTCAATAGGCTAATCCTTCGCCTGCGGCACCAGCACCCAGGTTCTAGTCCTGGTCAGGGCGCCAGATTCTGTCCTGGATGCTCCTCTTCCAGTCCAGCTCTCTGCTCTGGCCCAGGAGTGCAGTGGAGGATGGCCCAATTCCTTGGGTCCTGCACCCGCATGGGAAACCAGGAGAAGCACCTGGCTCCTGGCTTCAGATTGGCGTGGTGCACTGGCCGCAGAGGCCATTGGAGGGTGAACCAATGGAAAAGGAAGACTTTTCTCTCTGTCTCTCTCTCTCATTGTCCACTCTGCCTGTCAAAAAAAAAAAAAAAAAACCTGGAATCTACATTTTTGTAAAATGCCCATGTGATCTGATGCATATTAAACTTGTATGAACATGGTCTCAAAGTGTAGAAGATTGGGAGAACCCTGCACTTGTAGCTCTGTGAGGACACTAGTAGGGAGGAGCAGATGAGAAAATAGTTTTTTTCCCATTATCCATGATTTAGGTTGACCTACTACCTGTGGCTCTTTGGCTAGGAGTATACAAATATACAGAGATCAGAAAGCTTGGGAGCTGCTACATTAGAGCAAAGTAAAATGAAGATGGAAAGATCTCTTATGGGAAACAAGAAAATATTTCCACTAGACTTTGGGCAAGCATGATGGAACACAGAAACACGAAGAAAGAAAAAAAATTCAACCTGATTCTAAACCAAATAAACACAACCATGAGGAAGAATTTTAGTGTCTAAATTAAGTTCCTAATGTTTGCATTATTGTGACTTTTTCTCTGATATAAATAATGGAATAGCTAAAATCAGACATACTCTGCACATAAGGCCCTGTTCTTTCTGTTCTGAATGCTCTTTTTTTAGATATCCATGTAACTAATCCTCTCACTTACTCAAGTTCTTCACCAAGTCCTTAACGTCTTGGTGATGTCCATCTCGACTACTCAACTGAAAATTGTAATGCATTCCACTCCATTCACATACTTTTGCCACCCTATTCACCCAGTTTTTCTGTTTCTTTTTCCAAAGCACTTGGAACCCCCTAAATAACATTTATTTATTTATTTATTTATTTATTTGTTTATTGAGTCTACTGAAAATAAAACACTTTCTCCCCTTCCTAGAATATAAGCTCCATGAGGGAATGTGTTTTCTTTATTCTCTGGTCTGCCAAACATCTATTCTAGACCAGTGCCTGGTATACAGTACTTTCACAATAAATATTTGTTAAATTAAGGAGAATGAGTTTTGCAGATAGAGGCAGTAGAGTTTAAGAGATTAAGATTGGTTGCTATACTCAAAGTACAAGTTGGATTTGAATCTTGGTTTGGAGAAGTACTAAGTTCATTATCTCTGGTCTCAATTTTCTCATATGTAAACTCTGTCTCCAGGGTTGTGATGAAAATAAACAAGATAACATCTGAATACTGCCCATCACCTGATCATGAGGAATTGCTCATTCATAGCTTCTATGGTTATCACATTAATATTAGCTATGTTATCTTTTCTGCTCCCAGTAGCCAGCATTCAAACTTTCCTGGTTGGATTCAAAGAAATGGATAGCCTCAGGTACACTTTTGCTATAAGCTCAGGGATATATATACAACACGTTTAACTGATAACATGTCTGTGACAAAACAATCAAGAGGTCATCTGGCTGAACATTCATTTTATCTTTGCAGTTAAGGAAATGAACACCTAAGGTAAAGAGGTTTTCAAAAAGTCATACAACTTGGTAGTAGAGTAGAACCTGAAATCCAGGTTTCCAGAATCCCAGGCCAACATTCTTTCCACTATATTCAGTGTGGAAACTATTACTATAAAACTCTCGAACTAATTACCCTTACAAGGTTCACACAGAGAAGTAGAAGATATCTGAGATCATGTCTGGGATGGAACCAGGGTGCCTCTCTGTCAGTAATCACTGATAAAACACATCCATCATGTTTGTAACTCATAATTAATGGTTTACACAGAATAAACAGTAGATAAATAAATTCTAATTACACAATGAAAGAACATTAAGTTCCCTAATGTAGCCATATAGAAAATTCTAATAAAGTCAGTCAAGTTATTGCTAGTTTTTCCAGATTTAATATATTAATTTTAGGTGTTAGGTTGTGCCTATTATCTCCATATTTGGACTGAAATTCATCAACCAATTTAGTTAACTATTTTGGCTGACTTTTTTCTTGAATGTTGTTCAAAAGTGTCAGAAATATTAAAATTCATCAGACTTAGTTCTGCTATTATTAGTACGACAACCTAAATACATATTCAAAATTGGCCCTCATACTTATATGTAGGTAATTATAAAGTTGGCTCTTCCTGTTGTAGAGATAAATGGCTAAATGAAATGCACAAAAAAGAAACTGTATTAAAAATCAATCATGCAAAATGTAACAGTCTGGCCTCTGATACAGCCTCAGAAAAGTTACTAAAAATAAACCAAGGAAGCAAACAAAACTGTTGCTATGGAAACATGTTTGAATTACTGAAAGCAAATTAAAGATCACTCCTATTTGCCAAACATTACCACTCAGACTCTACTGAGCAGTACAAGCCCATGCAAATCAACATCATGCAACAATATATAGAATGCAGCACCACCATCGGCCTCCAAGACGGTGCACATCACTGAGTAGTAAGAAAGTCCCTGCTGGCAATTGATTATAAAGTACTTCACCTGAAGAATCTAATCTTTTAATCCATCTTAAATTCACTCATTTATTCAATAAATATTTATTGAACATCTGCCAAGTAAAGATTTTAAGTATGAGGAATTCAAAAATGAATGACATTTCCCCACATTACCCAGCTTAGAACTTCATAGAGAAACTCCAGACCAAGTTGTTTCTAAAGCTATGAATAAAATAAAATATAAATAAAATAAAAATAAAAGCATGCATGTTTATCTGAGGTAGATGTCATAAAGCACTCAGTGTTGGGCAAAAGCTAAATGTATAAATATATGGGCTGGTTTAGGAGGAAAAAAATTTAAAACAAGGAAATGTAAACATTTTTCTAACAGAGTAATTAAGTTTCAGTGGCTAAATGGGAAATACAAGAAGTAATTCCATCACAGCAAACCAGGAAACAATAATCAAGGAAAGGCACACAGTCTTCTAAAACTGATCATGAGTAGCTAGGATGTGAGGAAAGAAGAAAGCAGTGTCCTGGGACTAAAGTACATTGAGTTGTCCACTGAGGAAGCCATGGCATCATCACAGGTGAGCAGTCTCCTGTATCTGCGTTAGGACATCGCAGAAATTTAACACACATTTTTTTTCAACCCCACTGCTTATTCCATTAGACAGAACCCAGCAATGGTCAACAAAGAAAAATGCAACAGTCAGGTAGGACCTGAAAAAACACCAAATAATAACGAATAACAAAAGCCTTGGGTTATTCTAGCATTCTGGAAATCAAATGAATAAATAATGCAATATTGGCCGGCACCTCAGCTCACTAGGCTAATCCTCCGCCTGCGGCGCCGGCACCCCGGGTTCTAGTCTCGACTGGGGCACCGAATTCTGTCCCGGCTGCTCCTCTTCCAGTCCAGCTCTCTGCTGTGGCCTAGGAAGGCAATGGAGGATGGCCCAAGTGCTTGGACCCTGCACCCCATGGGAGACCAGGAGGAAGCACCTGGCTCCTGGCTTGGATGGCACAGCGCACCAGCAGTAGCAGCCACTTGGAGGGTGAACCAACGGAAAAAAATGAAGACCTTTCTCTCTGTCTCTCTGTCTCTCTCACTGTCTAACTCTGCCTGTCCAAAAAAAAAAAAAATGCAATATCTGTTTAACATTGAAAACAGTGTGAAGGAGGGGGGAGTATTTGTCAAGGCAACTTACCTTGTCTAGCTGCTAATAATGGATTCCAGAAGGGCCCTTCACTTTTAGGGCCCCATCTACAGCCCCTAAGTCATGGCTATTAACTACTTCTTCAGTATCCTCAGAAACAATCCAACCACCACACTTACGTTCAGCTGCCTGCCAGTTTCTGCAGTTCTTTTTCCTCTAAGAGGACACCATACATCATGGGTAGAAATCCATACTCAGAAGTCAATCAGCCTGGATAGGAATCAAGCCCAATCTTCCTGGTTGTGTGACCTAAAAAGAGTTAACATTTCCAAACTTTAATTTGCTAACCTATAAAAGAGGCATACTAGTAAGAAACTACCACAGAAATTATGATGTCTTTAAAAAGATTATCCCATTGGGGTCAGAGTTGTGGTGTAGGAAGTAAAGCCACTGCCCACAGCACTGGCATACCACCCAGGTGCTGATTTGTATCCTGGCTGCTCCACTTCCCATCCAATTCTCTGCTAACAGCCTGGGAAATGCAGTGGAATATGACTCAAATGTTTGGGCACCTGCACCCTAGTGAGAAACTTGGATGAAGCTCTTAGTTTCGAGCTGGCCCAGCCCTGACCTTTGCAGCCATCTGAGGAGTGAATCAGCAGATGGAAAATCTCTCTCTCTCTTTGTCTTTGTCTCTCTCTCTCTCTCTCTGTAACTCTTCAAAAATAAACAAATATATCTTTAAAAATGAGATTACCCCTTGGTAAGAATTTAATAACCTTAGTAATGATTAGCATACAATGTCTTTGGCAATGATGAAGGTGATACCAAGGGCTATCATTGATGTGAAAAGAGAGTGCAGTAAATGCAATATTTTCAATATTTTATCATCATTCCTACTTGGATCCTTTCTAAATGCATTCAGAGACTGATCTATAGGTGCTGTTTAACTCATCAATATCACATGGCCCCCACAGTGATCCTGTAGGGTATCTCTGAATGTCCCTTCTGAAAATACATGTCTAGAAGGTTTATGCCTCTGTGTTCTTTATGAGTTAGGCTCTGGATATATCTGCTATCATTCTAGCACTTCTTTTGACATCCAAGGAAAGCAGATACCATGAATGAATCCTCACCTACAAAATCCAGTAGGGGCTTAGCTGGTGTGTCCTCAAAGCCCTTTGCAGCCTGGCTGGGCCAAGTGAAGCTACTTGTGGAGAAATGCCTCTGAGATTGGCCCACGAGCAGTGAAGGCCTCTCAAAAAAGGGGCCTGCCAGCCACAGACTTCATTTCCCTCTATACTGACCAGTGCCTGGACAACAAACTATTCCTGAATCCACTGAGGAGAAATCTCTAAGTCACCTTAATGATTCCTAAATGCCTGTCCATAATGTACACATTATGTTCACTGTATAATAATTAATTAGATCTTCATATTATTAAGCCAAAAACAGCAATCAAAGTGAAAACAAACAAATAAAAAAGGCTTTTCAAGCAATAACAAAACAATGCTAAGAAGCAGAGATACCATTCTCAACTGCATGGGTAACTTTTAATCAGAGTCTTTAATCTGTTCAGCCTTGAGCCCCACAATACTATGATCTTGAAATCTTGATCTCAAGGAAGTTACTGAAACTTGATAACTTGATTTACTAGTGCTTAGAATATAGACTCAGAAATCATCAAAGCCTGCATCCTTCTAAATCAAGACTTGGGCATTACAAAAATATGGTGAATCTAGCCCATCTGACCCTGATCCCTGTAGCATTCGCTTTAGTCCTTCCTGTGCAGGGACTGAAGGCTCATGTCATGCTAGGAATTCATCCTGCTTCTTCCACACATTCAAATCATCAGCACCGTCTCTTTTTATCTATAATGTTATCATCATGCCCAAAAAAGATCTGACTTAAAGCAAATGCTGTACAAATCTTTTAAAATCCAGCTACCTTTTAAGAACTGTCAGAGTAAAAATAAAAAATAAAGCACAGTGTGGTTACCTAAACACTCTAAAACATATTCAAGTATCAGTAATGTGTATTTGTTATTGTTATTCTAAGACAAGTATTTTTATGAAGCAAAGGCTCATTGGGTTTTAAATAGACACCAATATGTCTTCCCTGAGCTATATATTCCCAGAGAGAAGAATAAATAATATCTCAATCATTTGTGTGCACTTTCTTTTTTAGATTTTTTAAAATTATTTATTTGAAAAAGTTAGAAAGAGAGAGGGAGAGACAAAGAGAGAATCTTCTATCCACTAGCTCACTCCCCAGATGGCCACAATGGCTAGCCCTAAAACAGGTTGAAGCTAGGAGCCAGGAGCTTCATCCAGGTCTCCCATGTGGGTGGCAGAAGCCCACACACTTGGGTCATCTTTCACTGCTTTCCCCAGGTCATTGGCAGGTAACTGGACTGGAAGTGGGGCAGCCAGGACACAAATTGGCACATATATAGGATGCAGGTATCTCAGGTGGCAGTTCTACTCTCCATGCTGTGGGGAGCAGCTCGGACTAGACTGAGTTACTGGAATTAAGACTTATTCTATGCATCTGCTCTCCCACAATATGGCGCTGGGAGAGAAGAAAACAGCTTCTACACAGCTGCCTCCAGTTCAGCCAATAAACTGTAGGACTTGCTCCTGATTGGAGGAGAGCAGCGTACTCGGCGTGTGGGCAGCCGAGTTGGGATTGGCGGAGGAGGACTATAAAGGAGGAGAGAGACGGCATGCACCGGGAACATCTAAGGGGAACATCTAAGGGGAACACCTGTGCAGCCCCCGAGAGAGCCGGCCGGCGGTGTGCCGCTCCCCTGCGGAAGTGGGGAATGTGGCCAGGGGGAACTGCCCTTCCATGGAGGTGGAAGGGATAGTAGCCAACCCGGGAAGAACCAGCAGCAAACCCGGGGAGGGCCGAGCAGACGAAAGAACAGCGCAGGGTCCTGTGTCGTTCCTCCACGAAGAGGGGGAGCGACACATGCCACAACACGGGCCCCAATTCATGTGCTTTTTCATTAGCAGCACTATACATCTAGATTTCATAACACTCTTGCTATGGGTAGGCAACATTACCATCTGTATTTTATATTTTGAAGACCAAGGAGAAGAGAGTTGTTTCTGTAAATAATCAATTAAGTGGAAAGCAAAGTCACTCCTCAAAGCAGCTGTGAAATCTCATTAAAATAATCTGAGAAGCTATTAAGGTATCAAGGATACATATTTCCTAATTTTTTTCATAATTTCTCTAAAGTTTGCAGTGTACATGTTCAAATAATATTATACTATGTTTGATGCAATACATGTATCACATAGGAAAATGTTCCCAATTCCTTCTTTCTTACATACAATTTCTATCATTCATTTTTACTCTCAGAAATAGTACCAATCCAGTTCATTGTTAATATTATCACTTTGGAGAATAGGAGAAGGAAGAGGAAGAAGGGTGGGAGTGCAGGCTGAGACAGGGTGGCTTGGAAGAATTACTAGGTTTTTAAAGCTGTATATATGAAATGTATTAAGTTTATATACCTTGAATAAAAGATTTCTAGAGAAAAACAAATAACAATAATTAGTTCCCTTTACCTTCCAGTTATATGTCACCCAGGATGACATTCAAAGGAGAAATTCCTTTATTCTAACCCTTTCTAATATCTGTAATACATAACATTCCTGATTCTTCAGTAGATTACACCTTTAAAATTAATTTAGAATTTAAAATTGTCATGCCTGTTTTTAAAGAACACATTTACAATTTTTAAAGATTTTATTTAGATGAGAAGTAGAGTTATAGACAGTGAGAAGGAGAGAGAGAGAGAGAGAGATTTTCCATCCACTGGTTCACTCCACGAATGGCCGCAACAGCCCGAGCTGGTCCAAAGCCAGGAGCCAGGAGCTTCTTCTGAGTCTCCCACATGGGTGCAGGGGCCCAAACACTTATGCCATCTTCTACTGCTTCCCCAGGCCATAGCTGGATTGGAAATGGAGCAGCTGGGTCTCAAACCAGTGCACATATGGAATGCTGGCACCACAGGTAGATCAACCTACTGCGCAACAGCGCTAGCCCCTACACTGATAATTTGACAATAAACAGCAAGCATGTAATGATGAAATTATTAGAGTCATAATATTGTAATATGCTAATGATTTAGAAAAGGGTACAACCATGGTTAGAATGGCTTACAAACAGAAATCAACTAACAACAGATGCTGGCTAGGATGTGGGGAAAAAGGGACACTAACCCACTGTTGGTGGAAATGCAAACTGGTAAAGCCACTATGGAAGTCAGTTTGGAGATTCCTCAGAAACTTGAATATAACCCTACCATACAATCCAGCCATCCCATTCCTTGGAATTTGCCCAAAGGAAATTAAATTAGCAAATAAAAGAGCTGTCTGTACCTCAATTCACAATAGCTAAAATATGGAATCAACCTAAATGCCCATCAACAGAAGACTGGATAAAGAAACTATGGGACAAAGCCGGAGGCATCACAATACCAGATTTCAGGACATACTACAGGGCAGTTGTAATCAAAACAGCATGATACTGGTACAGAAACAGATGGATACACCAATGAAACAGAATTGAAACACCAGAAATCAACCCAAACATCTACAGCCAACTTATATTTGATCAAGGATCTAAAACTAATTCCTGGAGCAAGGACAGTCTATTCAATAAATGGTGCTGGGAAAATTGGATTTCCACGTGCAGAATCATGAAGCAAGACCCCTACCTTACACCTTACACAAAAATCCACTCAACATGGATTAAAGACCTAAATCTATGACCTGACACCATCAAGTTACTAGAGAACATTGGAGAAACCCTTCAAGATATTGGCACAGGCAAAGAGTTTCTGGAAAAGACCCGGGAGGCACAGGCAGTCAAAGCCAAAATCAACTATTGGGATTGCATCAAATTGAGAAGTTTCTGTACTGCAAAAGAAACAGTCAGGAGAGTGAAGAGACAACCAACAGAATGGGGAAAAAATATTTGCAAACTATGCAACAGATAAAGGGTTAATAACCAGAATCTACAAAGAGATCAAGAAACTCCACAAAAACAAAAAAAACAACCCACTTAAGAGATGGGCCAAGGACCTCAATAGACATTTTTCAAAAGAGGAAATCCAAATGGCCAATAGGCACATGAAAAAATGTTCAAGGTCATTAGCAATCAGGGAAATGCAAATCAAAACCACAATGAGGTTTCACCTCACCCCGGTTAGAATGGCTTACATGCAGAAATCTACCAACAACAGATGCTGGCGAGGATGTGGGGAAAAAGGGACACTAACCCACTGTTGGTGG